ACAAAATTTTTTATTTTTATCAACATTATCAACCTCTTTATGGACAAATGCAAAGAAAAAACCTTAAGTTTATCCAAGGAGTCGACTTTGAACTGATTGAAAACCTTCCCAATAATGGAATAAAATACCTTTTAATATTTGATGACTCTTGTGAAGAAACTTCAAATTCTCAGCAGTTTCTAAAAGTTGCTACTGCTGGAAGACACAGGGGACTGAATACAATATATATTAAGCATAACTTGTTTCATCAAAGCAAATTGGGAAGAGATGTTGAGTTACAAAAAACACATATAGTCTTATTCAAGTCACCGAGAGATGTTTTACGAATCAAAACATTAAGTGAACAACTAGGTCTAGGATCACAATTGAAAGAGTGGTATCATGATGCAACATCTACTCCTTATGGTCATTTACTCATTGATTTAACTCCAAAAACAGTTGATTCGCTAAGATATTGCACAAACAGTGGTTCAGTTCCATCAAAGTTTTATCTACGAGCAGGAAGAGAAACTAAGTTTTTGGACGATGAGCATACAACACGTCTCTATACTCTCAATATTTCAAACATTTTTCCCAAAAACTTCAAAAACAATTCATCCTCCATTGTCCAAAAAGTTTCATTCAATTCCTCAACGAATGTCTAGTAAACTTACCACGAGGCGAGCTAAATGATCTTCAAAAAGTAGACGTAGTAAAATATCGAAGAGAAATATCAGAACTCACACGAAGAAGAACTTCACTGCATAAAAGGAGAACTATTTTGAGCTCGTCAAAAGGCTTACAATTAATATCTGTTATCACTCTTTTTGTCATTAAACGATTCACATAGTATGGATCAGTTTGTTCTAATTCCTTACTCAATTTATCAATCACAAAGTACACTTCCAAAAAAAACCAAAATTGGAACAAAAGCAAGAAAAAGAGGAAATTGTACCAAAAATTTTTGATTCTATTTACGATGCTGTAAATGCAAAGTTGAAAACGAGTAACAATAAGCACCTTATTGATTTAAATTTGAATTCTCCTAGAATTAGACTAAGTCAGTCAGAAAAAATTATATTAGATAATCGAGACACAAAATAATCAATTGTAGACTTTGTGTGTGCACTAAAGCAAAAAAATACCGACTTTCCCGATTTTTACTTTACCATTTTGGAAGCAACTCAAATTCCACCTAAACTTGTTGCCAAGTAGAATGCCAAAGCGAAAGACAGAAGAACTTGAATCCCTTTCAAAATCTGAAAAAGTAAGTCTGAACAGATTGTATTCTAGGGGTAGAGCTGCGTACGGTTCTGTGCGAAACTTGAGTAGAGCAAGCTGATTGTCAAAAAAGAAAGTAGAACAGTTTTTACAAACCAAGACATCGTATACAAATTTTGGTCCCCCAATCAGACGTTTTCGAAGGCTTCAAGCATTTTCAAAATATATAAAAGAAATTTGGTGTATGGATTTGGCATTTGTGGACAAACTAGCGAGTCAAAACAAGGGAGTCAAATATTTATTGGTTGCTGTTGATGTTTTTTTTGCGATTTGTCAGAGTTCAAACAATGAAAACTAAATATGTCAAAGACACTTTGCAAGCTTTCAAAAAAATGATATCTCGAAAAAATACTCCTGAAAAGCTTTGGGTTGATAAAGGAACGGAATATGGAGGAACTTTCAAAAAAAAATTTGCAAGGAAAAAAGCATTGAAGTTTACTCGACCATGGGTGAAACAAAAGCTGCATTGGCAGAGAGAGCTATTCAATCATTAAAACACATAATTTATTGTTACATAGAAGATCATGGTGAAAAATTCATTCACAAGTTGCCGCAATTTGTTTCTACAATGAATTGTCGCATCAATAGATCTATTGGGAAATCACCTAGAGATGTCAAGAATACTGATTTCCTCTCAATTCTGTACAATAAACCTCTAACAAGGTATAGGAAACTAAAATTCAAAGTTGGAGACTGAGTGAGAGTTTCAAAGAATGATATTACGTTCCGAAAAGGATATAAAACCATAATTTACAGATGAAAATTTTAAAATTTTGCTAGTCTCTACAAAAAAGCCCTCTACATACATCATCAAAGATCTCGACAAAGAGGAAATTCTGGGAAAATTTTATGAAAAAGAGCTTAGAAAATGTTCTGATTAAAGGTAAATCATTTTTTAAACTAAATTTCTACCAATCAGTTGTCATGGATTCTTTCAATATTGAGTTGGTTTCCAACGCTTCTTTTAATTGTTATCCGAATAACAGTCTTAGTTCTTTTACAAATTTTCTACCTCAACAAATACATTTGAAAGGAGAATGGGAGGTTGCTATTTCAGAAATATCATACCCTTCTTTGTACCAAAATGTTACAGAGGGAAAGTTTACATTCGTAAATGGTAGAGAAAGATTGAAAGATCTAAGGAGAAAAAAAAAGATTGTACCGAAGAACATTGAACCAGGATTGTATCCAAGTATGGTTGATATAGTTATAGCTATGAACAACAAAACTCGAGAACGTCTAGGAGCTCAAGTTTTTGAATATAACGGAATCTATGTATCAGTCGATAAAGTTTGCTGTTCATTTACCTGAGAGTCAATCAGTGTTTATTATTCAGAGTGCTGATTTGAGCCACTTTTTTAGTTGTGATTTAGAACAAAATCAAACAAGGGTTATAATGAAAGGAAAAGGTTCACATTATCCTCAGTATTCCTACGACAATATAAGAATACATTCTCTAATGATATACAGTGATATTATAGAATGTAACATAGTTGGTGATACAAAAACTCCCTTATTGCGTTGTATTCCATTTATCTCCAAAGTGAAGAGTGGAGATATAATTTCTACAGCACAGTACATGAATTATCAATCCTTTACAGATTTACAGTTTAAATAGCTGTTGAAAAATTCTTTCCATAGTATCAAGATAGAACTAAGAGATAGTACAGGGGAAAAAATTCCTTTTGTGTCAGAAGGAATCACTCGAATTGTTCTCTTGTTACGCAAGATTTCGAATAATCATTTTTGATTTAAACTTCATACGAAATGGTTGCTCAAAATTCAGCTGATTTCCCTATTTTTCGAGGACATGGAAGACAGCGTGGAAGACGTTTTGGAGCTCTTGCACAAACTCCTGGGAGAACTGCAATCCCCTTTAATAAAAAATGTATAGTCCCAGCTGCGAAAAGAATTGGGGCAGATTTGTTTGAAATCGCTGCTGCAGAGATTGGGGAAGTTGTTAGTGGACGTAAAAAACTCAAAACATTTGCAAAAGATGTGGGAACAAAAACAGTTCGGAAACAATTGGGAGGTGGAAAAAAGAAATCTAAGCGTAGAACTGCTAGAACCAGATCCATTTCTCGAAAAATTAGAACGAAAAATAGTCGCTCCCGCAAAGACATTTTTGGTACGGGGCTTTTGCAAATTCTTCATTGGAGAGTTTTGATAAAGTCCCAGTTTTGGAAACAATTATGTCATCTTACGCACAAGAAGTATTCCCCAGTACTTCTCTGGATGAAATCAGTATTGAGTTTGAATTTGAAACGGATCGTAATCTCTACTTGGATATGCGTGATACCCATCTTAGCTTAGAGCTTCAACTATTCAAAGGAAGATTGTTTGATTCTTTCAAAAAAAGGAAATGCAGAAAATAAAGCAAAATCGGAGGAAGATTCAGATGAGGAACCACAAACTTACTTAACTTATGTAAACAATCTACTACATTCTCTATTCTCCAACTGTGAAGTTTATTTTAACAAAACAATGGTTTACAATGCCCTTGGATTATATCCTCATAAGGCACAGATATCGTACGAATTCAGCTCGTCAGCAGTGAGTAATAAAGGAATTCTTGCTTGTCATGGATACAGTTTTGAAGAAAATCCTGATGCATTTGATATGTATCCATTCACTGATAGAGCAAATTCCTTGGGAACAGGGATAACTTTTTCACTCTATGGGAGGCTTGCCATTGATTTGTTTACTTGCGAAAAACTGTTGCCACCAAATACCAGAGTTCGAATTAAACTTATTCGAGCTAGACCTAACTTTTACATGTTATCTGATAATCCAACTGTCAGTCTGAAAATAGTTGATTGTTCGTTGTTTACTAGAAGAATTTTAGTTGCTGAACCTAATCATCAATACTTGCAATGGAATCTGGAAAGAGAACCTGCTCAATACATTTACATGGAAACTATAGCAAGAACCTTTATCATTCCATCTCGTCAAAACCAATTCAAACAAGAAAATATATCCAATAACGCTCCAATAAGAAGAGTAGCTGTTGCAATGAATACAAATTCAGCTGTTGCAGGTTCTTTTCATGAAAACCCTTTCAGCTATCAGCAATTTCATTTAAGAGAACTTAGAATTATTCGGGGTGGAAGAGCAATTGTTTCATTAGATACAACTTCTCCTTGTCGACCTTATCTTACAACAATGAAAGCAATGCAGTTTAACGAAGATTTCCCAGCTCTTCCTATGGAAGGTTTTCAAAATCACTATATTCTAGTTTTTGACTTGACTTCACTACAGGATGCTGCTGAACAGTTGCATTATCCAGAACTTAGTGGAGAAAGCTTGAGATTAGAAATGTATTTCCAGTTTCCCTTGGAGCAAGTAACGGAAGTGATAGTTTGGGAGAAAGACTATCAAATGTTCAAATTGAAAAATTAGGAACAGTCGCTAAAATTGTTTAGTTTTTTTGAGTTTTCAGGTTCCTATAAAAAATATTGTATCTTTTTTGGGACTTTTCATTGTGATTGTCTCTCTACTATATATTTTGTTTTTCTTCAGAACTAAATCTCCAGAAAAAGCAGCTTATGAATGCTGTTTAATTGAAAACCCAAGACTTTTCTTCAACCTAGACTGTATATCAGTCTTCAACAAATTTTGTCCAGTTCACAAGTTTTGTGTATGGGACTTTGTTGATTCAGTACCTCAATGCGAGTAAGTCAATAACTTTAGGATTTTCCATCCTGAATTACAATATCAAACTTTCTGTTTCTTTGTTTTAGATGTAAATCAGCTTACATTTGCGAAAATGAATAATTTTTCACTTCTGCAAATTATTGAAAGAATTCCTGAACTCAGGTTCAAGTACATGGGATCTTACCCCTTTGATAAAGTACCTCAACTAACAAAATACTCTTTTGCAATTGTTAACTCAGCTCCAAGCAATGATAGAAGGGAGCACCGGATCATGATGGCTCGATTGGATAAAACTTACTATTTTGCTGATTCTTTGGGTCGGAAAAGAACAGTTTTTTCCTTTCTAACAAAAAAGTATTGGCGAATGGTTCCCCGAAAGCTACAAAAAACTGATAATTTGTGTGGATTTTACGCAATTTATTCAGCGTTCTTCTTTTTAAATTCTACCAGACAAACTTGAATAACATTCATGATGTGCATGTTTTGAATTTTATAAGTAATTTTATGTAAATTTGTAGTTTTTTCATTTGTAAATGTAAATTATGGCAGTAAGTTTACTATACGATGCAGTGATTTATATATTTTCATTGTAATTTAATTTTTTTCTCTCAAAAAATTCAATTTTTTTCAATATCTCTGTAGGTTCAGAATAGATTCAGATAGATAGAAAGTAAAAGTATCTAATAAATTTTCATTAGATCAAATTAAACAAAATCTTATCGTGTTTTGAATTTTTTCGACACATTTTTTTGCACAAAAACCATTGACTTACCATCCACCAAAAAAAACTAAATACATAATCTTAATTCTACAATCAACACGTAATTAACAATTAATTGTTCCCAATTAGGTAACGCGCGCCGAGATTTTTGCGAAAAAATTAGACATTTTCGCACAAAAACCAAAAAATTTGCGTTTTTCTTACCATTATCTTACCATCACACAAACCATAAAACCTTACCATCGGTCTTCCCTATCTTAATACATTGTAGACTCTATACCCAGTCTTAATACAAAGCATGGCGGACCAGAAATCTAAAACGTATCTTAATACATGGGGTCCACCATGCACCCCCCCCCCCCTGATTAGCCTCAACATCTACTACTGACGGTATAAAGTTGTTCGATTGGTCAATGATACTGCTTTCAATTTAAAAAAATCAATAACCCGAGCTGTTTCTGAAAGGCTTCAGGTAACAAAAATGAACCGCAAAATTCTACTTCAAATCAAAATAAAAGGAATTATTTTCAATTCGAAAACACTTTTGGAGAAAACTTTACTTGAAAAGAAACCCAACACTTCAAGCCAGTTTAGTACTTAAGTAAAACGTAGAAAGCAATTTTACCAACACAATCAGTTTGATGCCACAAAAAAAGCAGATATTTTTGCTCAAGTGCTTTTTATGAGATCAGTACCCTAGTTATTCAAGCGAGGTTATCTTGCAAGCTCTTGCAAGAATCTTGGAAAATTTTTAAAACATTACGAGGCCAAACTGTGCATTTTGTGCATTGTGAGCGGATTCCGCAACAAGGACGCTCCCTTTTTTCTTCTTTTGTTCTTTACTTTCCTTTGATCGTTCCGATAAATTTTTAACATGTTTAAAGACTTGTCTCTGGAAGACAGGAACATACAGACACAAAGTTGTGCGCCTATCCAGTGCACAGTTTGGCCTCGTAATGAAAGAGTGTGCATCTCTTTAACTGATCTTGAAATATTCTGGCATAATAACCTCCTTTAGGATAAATTTATTTCAAGCAAGATATTTGAAGAAACAATTTTTGTGAGAAAAAAAAATTTTGCATAAGAAAACAACTTGTAGCGTTTGTGTACGAAGGAAGCAATGCCAGTAAAAAGTAGAAACAGTTAAACACAAAGACAAAAAAACCAAAAAAAAAGAAAAAAAACGAAAATTTAACCGCATAAGAAGATGAACATAATTATTTATTGGGTTTATGTCAACACAACGTACAAAATTTCTCAAGCTAAATAACTGTCTTCATCGAGTTTTGTCAAAAAAAACAATAAATTGAAATGTAACCGCTAGATTTGCAAAACTAGATGAAAAAATCATCTAATTATGTAAAAAAACACGTTTTGAAAACTTTAGATTGAAATGTATAAACTAAAACGACAACATGAAACTTTTTGCTTTACGAAAATTGAAAAATGAGCATATATCTGTATGAAAATTTTTATTACTTGTTTAATCTTAAATTTTTATCAAATTTAAACTCAGAAATTTTTGGAACCATAGTCAGTTTTGATGTCCATAGTTTTTTCTAGCGCTCAGAACAAGGAATTTTTAAAAATTCTCATAGTTGGTTATTTTGCAAGATCTTGTAAGGTAACCACCATTATGCAAGAATCATGAAAAATCTTGCAAGAGAACCCTTCTTGATCGATTTGGGAAGTACTTTTACAGTGTCTGCAGAACTTTCTTTGAAACAGTAACTCAATTTAGCGTATCATTAGAAGGATGCACATGTATCACCAGTTTGAGTCAAAATCTAATGTTGCAACAGTTAAGGAACCGCAATGTTTTTAAGAAGCAATTTTTTGACAAATACTGCACAAAAATGGTGCAAAATCTAATTGAAACCATTTTCTAAATTTCATTAATTGGAACAATCTTATTTTGTGCAACATTCACCTGGAATGGTAAATTTAAAACTTACTGAGTTTTCAAAAAGAAAGAATTTTGAAACTCATAATTTCGAGTAACTAAAAAATAATTTCATAAAAATGTAGATAATTTGCTGATAAAACTATTTTTTGATACTGATGAAATTGATAATATTGTGTTCCAATGACTTATTTAAAAACATTAAAGGAGGTGTCTGGTCTATGAGGGGTGTGTGAGATTAGCTTTAACTCATCGTGGGATCTGAAATGAGCATTCAAAAAACGCTCTGGTCACAGGTGCAGGTAGACTCTGAAGTATAATGAGTACTGATAAAGATTATGCCTCAACCTGAAAAATCCTCTCACTTGTTTTAAGTTTAATTTAAAAAATATTTAGCTTTCTTGTACATTTTATAACGTTTTTGATTTGACAAAATTTTCCTTATAATTGTATTTAAGGCAATCGAATTCCAAAATGTTGGTAAAAACGATTGAAAAAAAAAGATACTTCTGGACATTTTATTTCAAATTCAAAATATCAGTTAAATTGAAGTGAAGAAACTCGGAGGAAAAATTTGTACTCATTTAACGAAAGTATGAGGAACAACGTATTTGGTTGATCATTTTATACAGATATGGAGAATGATATGAGCGGAAGAAGAAGTTGGAGAGCTTTGCACATGAATATATCGGACATACTTTATCAGAAGCTCAAAATCTCGATACTTTCTTCATAGCTATGCGGAAAAAAATCACCGCTGGCTCATTGAATACCCTGGCATTCCAAAGAATCTCGACTTTGATAGTATTTTATAAGACGCGTTTTTTGGTCACTCAGTTTTTAAAAAATTCAGAAGGGGACTGGGGCGCTAAGATACGTATTGATGGTAACTTTGATGGTAGCACGCCTCAAAAAGAAACGAAACTTTTTGGTCAAAAACTTCAGAAAATGCTTAAAATTAGCCTGTTTTTTTTCCAAATTTCATCCGCGGAGCACAAAAGAATGCATAAAGTGTCCCTAAACATATTCAGCTCCAATTATTGGTTGATATTTCGTGAGGAAATTTGCAATGAATCGTAAATAATCGTTAATAAGTTGGCTCAAATAATAACAGAAAAAGTTTTCTGTTTTTGGAACAAAAGTTTCAAAAAATTGATGTTTTTTTTGCAATACCGTCTATAAGTAATCATTTGGGGGCAGGGATAGGTCTGTGATATTCTCGAGGGGGCGGAAGATTTTCAAAAAAAAATTTGGAAAATTTTGACGACTTTTTTTAAGTGGACCAAATTGATTTTCCGAGCTCTCCCTAATCACTGAAAAGTCCCTGTTTTAGCCAAATTTTGTCAATTTTTGGACAGTTTTGATCAAAAAATCGTGTTTTTTGGCGCGCTTCCTCCCCTCAAATTTAGTATATATTGGCGCGGAAGGCGCCTTTAGAAAAATTATTAGGTCACCTAGTCAAAAATGAAGGTTATAAAATAGTATCAAAGGAGGGATCCTTTGTGTAGTCAAATTTCTGCGAAGGAGGCGCCCTTTCCGCTGCCCTTAAACTGGCTACTGTTTGCTGTTTCTGAAACTCTTGATTTGGATCCTTTTTTCTACAAATTACTTATAGTGATCTGTCTTTTGTAAATCAATTTTTGAGTCCCTGGAATCGGAAGTTGTCATCTGCTGCATAGTTTTGACACCATCTATCCTTTTCGGATACTTTCAATTTTCTTCACCCATTGGACTATGGCAGTAACTGTTTTCTTCGGACCGATTGAGAAGTGTTTGATGAGAAGAATAGTTAGAATACTGTTGATTAGACTGAATGATCGCATCCAAACGGAAATGTAGCTGTGGGCTGTGAGCGCTCGTAACTTCATCTTAGCTCCTGGCCATTTGTCCTCCGCCACGTGGTACCCTATGGCATTTTAGATTTCAAATTGTCACATGACTACATGTAAAAAAAAACTGAAGACAGAAGTCATGCATCTGTTGCGGTTTCTTTTTTCTTTGCTTTCCCTATATATGCCAGCTTTATATTCTAATCTATAATCCCCAATCATGCAAAAGTTCAGGGACGGATCTAGGATTTTCTCGAGGGGGAGACTAGTAAGTATAAGAGTAAGATTAGGACCGGTATTAGACTAAGAAGTTGCACGAATCTATCCGGCCGAAAATAAGATAGCGTGACGAGCAGACGGTGTACCCTATTACCCTATCCGAAATTACTCTATGAGTTAACCACATCGGTCATAACTCATCTGGTGCGACCATAATTCTCGAATAAGACCTTAATAGCTTAGAACTAACCAAATATAGATTAGAAATTAGACAAAACATTTTCAAAATGTTACACGATAATAGTTTAATTAAAATGTCTCTACGACTCAATAGATCAGAGCCGATATTCTGAACGATACTAGAACTACCCGGTATTGAAAGAAGACCTCGGACAAGAGACGATATACGACTAAGTAGAA